ACTTTAAGATTCGATAGAACTTTTAAAATTAATGCATAAAGTCTTTATAAACATGGGTCGAAAAATGCGTGGCTTCCGAAATACAGGGTGTTTAAATTTACTTTCTAAAATAGTTTTTTTTAAATATTTCGAACAATATTTGATGTATAACAGTGAAAATTGGTATACAAGGGTTTTTTGGTACGACAAAACGAACCATGGGCATAGTTTTACTGTAGCCGCTAGAGGGCGCTCTCTACTCTACCTGTAGTGTATTAAAATGACCGAACATTTTTTCTTAGTGCAATGTTTTGCTTTTTGAATAAAAAAGCTGATTCTTCGCACTTTTCAACATAAAAAAGCACTCCTGTGAGTTTTCGTTATAGTTAGCCGTTTTTGAGATATTTCGACTTTTAAGGTTCGATGCATTTTTAATTATTTATGGGAAAATAATATTTTTTTACAGTTTCGATTTGGGCAATACAAGTAATTAAGATGATCGTTTAGATTGTGTTTTTAAACACAGCAATAATTCCTAACTCCAAATAAACACAAAAAAAAAGAATGTTAATTTGTTTAATTTTCCAATATTATTTTTAACAAATTAAATTAATTATTTATAACTAAAATGCTATTGGATAGTTAGGACAAACATACAAAATCTAAAGTAGTTGCTCGAAATGTAAACCCAATTGTTCAATACACAATTCACATCTACAAATGATCGAACGTGGTATAGCATTATTCAAATAAGGCCTAATTTCATCACATGCATTCCTGATTCTGTCTATTAGCATATCTCTTGTGGTTACGGGAGTCTGGTACACTTTTTCTTTTAGAAAACCCCACACAAAGAAATCTAATGGATTTAGGTCAGGGGATCGTGGAGGCCAGGCGACTGGTCTTCCACGGCCGATCCATCTTTCTGGATAATTTTCGTCCAGCCACTTTCTAACTATTCTCGAATAATGAGCTGGACAACCATCAAGCTGGAACCAGGCCAATCTTCTTAAATCTAACATAACATCATCCCACATATTTGCATGTTCAGCCTTTAAAAATTCCAAGAAGGTCGCAGCATTTAACCTTGCAGCCAGAAGGTAGGGTCCAAATAGTCGATTACGGTAGATACCAATCCACACGTTCACACTAAATTCATGCTGAAAATTTCTTTCCCGAACTGCATGCGGATTTTCATGCGACCAAATATGTTGATTATGAAAATTTACCACTCCACGTCTAGTGAAGCATGACTCATCGATCCATAAAACGTTACTTAAAAACTCCCTATTATTATCAGTTCTTTCAAGAATCCACTGACAAAATGTGATTCTTCGTTCTCCGTCCCCTGGCTGTAGTCCTTGCTCAGGTTGCAAATGGTAAGGACGTCTATGGTCATTAATAAGAACACTGTGAACATGGCTTGCTGAAATCCCCAAGGCACCATAAACTCTCCTAACACTTGTGGTCGGATCTCTATCAAACTCACGCAGAATCATACGGGTAAATCTGCGCTGACGAACATTTATGTTTTGATCCCGTTGGAGATTTCCAAAACCATTTTCAATTATTTGGCGATACACTCTTACAAATACTGAGCGAGTTGGATGTCGTCTGTTTGGAAATCTTCGTGCGTATTCTCTGGCTGCTTCTGCTGCGTTTCCATTTACAAAGCCATACACAAAATGAATATCCGCTAACTCTTGATTGGAGAATAAAAATGGCATTTTTATAAAACTTACAAAAAAAAACCAGGTAAAAGAAACTAAATTTCGTGCATTCACAATTGCAAAAAAACGTTTTAGGTTTCAACAGACAACAAAACTAACTGTCAACTAATTGACGTTTAACCTTATTCTGCTTTCAATTTCAAAAATATTTGCAGGCACAGCCTACTTCTAAAAATTATCGAGATACTGACTTTTTATCGATATTTTATCATAAATAATTAAAAATGCATCGAACCTTGAAAATTGAAATATCTCAAAAACGGCTAACTATAACGAAAATTCACAAGAGAGCTTTTTTATGTTGAAAAGTGCGAAGAATCAGTTTTTTTATTCAAAAAGCAAAACAGTAGAGAGCGCCCTCTAGCGGCTACAGTAGAACTATGTCCATGGTTCGTTTTGTCGTACCAAAAAACCCTTGTATATATTGTTCGAAATATTTAAAAAAACTAAAATAATATAAACATGAAAAAATCGAACACTTTTATAAATTTTGACTAAATCATATGTAATTTCTTAATATTCAATAAGCTGGTGATGTTTCAATGCCAAGCTGTCATCTGATACTTTGACAGTATTTTGTTTTCAACATTTCGCAGCTATTGGTTGTTAAAATTCGTTGATGGGAACTTGAAGCTCATTCGCTGTATTTGACGAACTGTTACCCTATAGGTGGAGAACAACGGACTGTTGATTTGACAATCCTGGTGAAATCCACCATATCTCTACAAGATGACATAATTATAACCTTAACGTTTCGTCTCTTGTCCTTAATTATCGACTTTATATTTTCTCATAGACGCCATATTGAATTTTTTTACGAACGAGTTTCCAATTCCTATTCCAAAAATGTATATGCCATACAAGCATTAGTTATTTAAAAAACAGAATGTTTTAGGTAGGCCTTGAAATTATCAGATAGTCATTTGTTTCATATCCTCAGGCGAGCATTCCTTCAGTTTTTATAAACTTGGCATAGGTGATCAGTCCCTGTATCATATTTTAATGATGTGATGTACAGGTACAGGGTGGTCAACTAAGAATGCGAGGTACTGTGTCTTGGAACCTATCGGTCGCAGAGGCTTGCTATTCTTGGGCTACAGACGCTACGATATTTTAAACTTTGTTAGTTTCACATGTGGCCGCTTTACATGCATTGGTATGATATTGTTTATAACCTAAAATTGAGACCAAAATTGTGGACCGATTTAAAAAAGAACGGTTTTTAATGTCCAGTCATAATACTTCATCAAAATTCTAATTTTTTTCTACGTGAATCTGTATTATGCATATCATAACCTGGATTTTCTTCTCGGACAATGCGATTCCGCGGGAAGTGAAGTTCGTCTCGCTCAGAATGTTTCGGATTTCCATTAAAGCTCGTCATCACATCAGCACGAGTTTATAAATATTTATGAGTGCTGAATTGTTATCTGCCGTCGTTGAAAGGTTCGTTTCCGGCATTTTATACTCTTTTATACTCTGCTAATTTTTAATATACACCCGTGAGCAATTTTCCGGCTGACGCTCCTCACGGCAACGCTCGTATTTAGTGAAATACCTAAGATTATGTAGCGCTACGTCATGTTGCTATGCTTTTGGACAGTCTCTGTTGGTATGCCACCGTGACCACGCAAATATTCAAAAAGGTTAAAACAAAAATTACAAATTATTGCTGAAATGTTTAATACTTCCCGCACCTACAGTAATAGTTTATTGTTCTTTTGGACATATACAGGGTGTGCCAAGAGTCCGTCTCGGGTAGTTTTCGGGTTGCATGATGAGCATCCCAGACGTCTTTCTTTAAGTGTAGTTAGAGATAAGAAATATAATATTACTTATTACAATTTCACTGATCAACAGCCAAAAAATATCCTAAATAAAATCAACAAAATATTACTATTTTCAATGTGCTAAAACCGGAATGAAACTTATTTTTTCAATATTAGTTCAAGTTTTAGAGATACGGTAATTATATGTGTTCCTGCTGTGACAGTGTTAATATACTGTGATTCACAAGAATGCACGTGCTACATTTTTATATTCGGCAAGGAAAGATGATGTAATCGGCATGATTGTGTTACGTTATACATACGTGTACATTATATTGTTTTATATTAGCCATTTTTTCCTCAGTTGGCTGACAGCGTTCATATAGTGCGCATATAGTGATTCTTATAAGTATATGAATCTTGTTACTTTTTTTAATATATCCTTCAAAATAAAAAGTTTTTTTCTAAACCGCAACAATTTTTTTTATTTCATTGTCATTTTTGGATTCAGCGCCCCAAAATTAACAAAGAAGTGCACTTTTCCCACAAGATACAATTAAAAAACTAAAATTTGTTGTCCAGTGTTATTATTACCTGTGTGAAATACAAAAATTGCAGATCTACCGTTACCACAATTTTTCACGGGGTCCTCAAGGATATGTACTTGGGCCGTTGTTATTCTTGTTAGACATTAACGACATACAAGTAACAGTACTTCTTCTTTCAACTCACAGCACCTTAGAAAACCTAGATAATGAATCATCAGTATGCAGACGGGACATTTAAAACTGGTTTGTTGTTAATGAGCTGACGTTAAATGAAAAAAAACTCAGACAATCAGTATTTCTCGATTAAATTTTGACTCAAATGGTGATAACGCAGAAACAGTAAAGTTTCTCTTCTTTGAATTGAGATGAGAGTGTCAATCTTTTCACAAATTCTTTCTGGTACGTAATCTGAGAAATGTGTCTCGGAAAACACTGCTCTTCAGTTACCATGCATACTTCCACAGTAGAAGGACCTACGATGCTCTTTATCACCAAACAACACACGCAGTCACCTTAAAAATTCAGCAGAAAAGCCTGACCATTTCATCACTTGTTCATGGCAAGATAAATCGTTATGTAAAACATTATTGAATTCTAATAAGCAAACGTAGATGTTTGCTTTTTCTGTCACTCAGCGCACAATGGCAACGCGGGTGTTCCCCAGGGATCGGTGTTGGGCCCTCTAATGTATCACCCACCTCCTTTCTTGTATGTGATCATCCTAACCACATTACTGGTCACTGGACAGTCATGATGCAGTATACTGATTCGTACTTGCGTAGTATTCGCGATAACGTGCTGTATACTTGGTGTGAATACATCCCTGATAAAGGGGGATCAGAGCATCGTATCTCTCTTCGACGGGCGCGTCTGGTCCCAAATGGCAGATAAGCCCTTGCGAAGAATAAACTGCTCGTAAAGCAGCAGAGTTTATCGGTATCTATCGGATATTCGACGGCGCTAATGCTAATTACCGACATGTGCGGGGCAAGAGGGGTGGGTAATATCTTATCAGCTACAGCTCTTACATGTAGCGCACTGGCATTAACGAACGCTGCGTCCATCATGAAGTATTATTGAAAAACTACATAGATACGGAAATACTGGCAGTTCTCTTGTATAGATCAAGTCTTTTTTTAATATAGGACACAATGTGTGTCTTTATTAACCAGTTACGGTGCAGAAATAATAAATGAAACGTCTGGTATTGATATGAATATGAAAGTTCCCCAAGGATCTATGTTAGGGTATATGTTATTTATACTGTACATAAATGATCGGGATGAACTTTTCATTGGCCTAGTGTATTTTATATACAGGGTGTTTCAGTTTATTGTTGCATAACTTTAAGATTCGATAGAACTTTTAAAATTAATGCATAAAGTCTATATAAACATGGGTCGAAAAATGCATGGCTTCCGAAATACAGGGTGTTTAAATTTACTTTTCAAAATAGTTTTTTTTAAATATTTCGAACAATATTTGATGTATAACAGTGAAAATTAGTATATAAGGGTTTTTTGGTACGACAAAACGACTATGTTAATTTGTGCGGTTGGTGGCATGACGTGCTCGGTATAAAATCAGGATCTCTTGACGTTGATGGCATATCTTCTTCCTGACGAATCACTCGATCGCCATGATCTGATTCGTTTTCTGATTCGCAAGTGTAGGATTCTGGGGGTTTTGGAATAGGATTTTCGTCACTGTGAGGCACAGGTCTCATAGCAGATGGTATGTTTGGGTAGTTAATAACCGATTTTTTTCATGGACATACCTGTGGCTTGTCCAACACAAGGTACCATGCAAAAGTAACAATCATTAATATGATTTGTAGGCTCTCTCCAAACCATTGGGACAGCAAAGCGCATAGACCGTTTTTTGCCATTTAACCAGCTCCTCAGACTTGAAGCACATGTATTACAGCAGATTTGGGGTGCCCACTGTTTGTCTTGATCACCTAGTTTACAACCGACATAAAGCTGATATGCCTTTGTTATTAGTGGAGTAATAGACCGTCTCTGAGACGCAAAAGTCACATCACCACATACGTAACAAAACTGATCTGGCTTGTTTACACACTTTCGAGACATCTTGCATGAACGCTGTCAGCCAACTGAGGAAAAAATGGCTAATATAAAACAATATAATGTACACGTGTGTATAACGTAACACAATCATGCCGATTACATCATCTTTCCTTGCCGAATATAAAAATGTAGCACGTGCATTCTTGTGAATCACAGTATATTAACACTGTCATAGCAGGAACACATATAATTACCGTATCTCTAAAACTTGAACTAATATTGAAAAAATAAGTTTCATTCCGGTTTTAGCACATTAAAAATAGTAATATTTTGTTGATTTTATTTAGGATATTTTTTGGCTGTTGATCAGTGTAATAATAATAATAATAATAATAACGTCTTTATTGGATAACCCGGAGGGACATAAACAGCGAAGTTTAGCCAAAGCTACTCTTACACTTAACTGTTTATGTGGGTAACACTTGATGAGCTGCACACTGGATGGAGAAAGGAAGATTAAGAAGTATCTTATGCTGCAGGCAATCGAAGGCTTTAGTTATACTACAAATATTTAAAACTGTAATGACTCATACGCGTGATCAACACGTGATCAGAGCTCGATCCCGGTTTCCTTCCAGTACAGCCGAATAGCGTACGACATATGTCGTTTCTGTGGCTTTGCGGTGGTGAACAGCACAGACAGAGATGGAAATAATGGCTGATTGTTCTCCGCCGATAGAACCAATGAAATCAAAGACGCGCCTCGACCGGCAGACTCATAGGCGTCGGCAACGCATTGGAACGTGTTTCGTTGAGCGATCGCATATTGTGTGTTTTTATAAGAATTGTTGTGTGATTGTTATTGTTGTGGTTTCTGTGGTTACTGTTTTGGTTATACTTAACCATGGAGAGTACAAATGGCACGAGTGGAAGTTCTGAAAGCCAGGGAACAAGTAGACGGCTTCGTAAAGCACTGAAGAGGGACGCGAAAGAAATCGTGCTCAACGTGTTCAATTATCTGAACAGAATTATGTCGCAGGGAGATGCACTCGCGCATTGTGAAAGTATGACAGGCGTTCCAGAGTGGACCATTCGCAGAAAACTGGAGCTACTACTGATCGAAAGTTTAATTTGAAGGGACGAAAGGCCGTTAAATTGGATGACGATAGCAAAATGGCGTTAAGGCGAATAGTACATTCATTCTTCTTTAGGAATGAGATACCAACCCTCAAGGCTGTACATGCAGCGATCAAGGAAAATGAAATTATACCCCAAATGAGCGTCGAGGTAATGAGAAAATCCCTGCACGAAATTAATTTTCGTTACGAAACGCGTAATCGGAAGTCAGTATTGATAGAGAGACCTGAAATAGTCGCCTGGCGTTGAAAATACCTACGCGAAATGATTGAATATAGGCGACAAAGCAGAAAAATCTATTATTTGGACGAGACATGGGTAAATGCAGGTCACACAATTAAAAAAACCTGAATAGACAAAAATGTAGTGAGTAACGACAAGCAAGCATTGAAGGTTTGCCAACAGGTCTTCGTTGACCTTCAGGGAAAGGTCAAAGATTGATCGTAACTCATATTGGTAGCGATAGTGGCTTTTTAGAAGAGTGTGACTTGATTTTCGTCTCTAAGAAAGGAGGTGATTACCATGACGAAATGAAAGCCAGCTGCTTCGAGAGCTGGTTTCAAGGGGTGCTTCAGCGAGTTGAGCCCAACTCTGTGATCGTCATGGATAATGCTTCCTACCATAGTCGTCGAGCCGAACGTGTACCGACTATGGGATCTCGAAAAAGTGACATGCAGCAATGGTTGCGCGAAAAAGGAATCCCGTTTGACGATTCATGTGTGAAAGCGGAATTGTATGAAAAAATTAAACAGCACAAACCTGCGAACATTAGTTACGTGACTGATGAGATGGCCCGTCAATGTGGTGTCACTGTGCTGCGGTTACCGCCCTACCACTGTGAACTGAACCCAATAGAGCTCATCTGGGCTCAAGTGAAGGGTTATATTGCGCGCCAACCTTCAAATTACCAGACGTTAAGGTTTTACTTGAAACTTCCATACAACTAGTAACGCCCGAAGCTTGGCAGAATGCTATCCGTCTTGTTGTGAAGGAAGAAACAAAAATGTGGCAGCTTGACCACCACATCGACACCATCATAGAGCCAGTTATAGTCAATTTCAACGAGGAAAGCGATAGCGACAGTTTATTACTGTCAGATGTAAGTGGAAGCGACGATGAATAAAGGTAATTCCCAAATTTTTTACTTACAATATGTTTCAAACCACTCTTTATTAAGCATGTGACAAATCTAGTTCACCCATGTTAAACATTCATACCCCGCCTATGAACAGCCGACTACTGGTAGTTAAGTGATGTTCACGTGAACATCGATGAGTCATTACAGTTTTAGATAGTTATAGTATAGACCGAAGAAGTCAGCCTTCACGTATAATTTGAAACTGTTTATCGCGGTTGTCGTTGACATACCTATCCTGAAACCAAGCTGACAAGAGTTACATAACGTCCAACCTCGGACAAATCTTCAGTCCGCTGCAAGATTGTCGCTCGGAGGCGTTCCATCGTGACGCCTGCGGAGACATACATTTGAATTTGGCCAGCCATAAATTCCGAATAACAATGCCGTTAGTCTATGAAGCGACGGGTTTTCTTTATGGCCCATTAAAAATGGAGGCTAGGCGGGAGATCGGAGACATCTAACTTGGGATACAGCGACAGTCTGCATTCGAGAGACCCGCCTGAAAAAAGCGCCGCGTAGGAGATGAAAAGTTTCGAGATTTATATGTCGCGTTTTTATATCGGTGCCACGTGAAGTGGCAGATGCCTCATTTTGTCGACGGTGGGCTGAGAGCAGATCGAAGGCCCATTCCCACAACGCGGGAGCGGTGGTGATTTCCCAAAATTCAAAAAAAAAAAACGGGAAAGATAGTAATTTATAACTTTGAACATAACTCGTCTTCAGAAAAGACAACACATAAATAACCCGTCAGGCACAGGTAATAGATATACTCCATTGGCAGCATATTCAATAATAACACTGATCAACAGCCAAAAAATATCCTAAATAAAATCAACAAAATATTACTATTTTTAATGTGCTAAAACTAGAATGAAACTTATTTTTTCAATATTAGTTCGAGTTTTAGAGATACGGTAATTATATGTGTTCCTGCTGTGACAGTGTTAATATACTGTGATTCACAAGAATGCACGTGCTACATTTTTATATTCGGCAAGGAAAGATGATATAATCGACATGATTGTGTTACGTTATACACACGTGTACATTATATTGTTTTATATTAGCCATTATTTCCTCAGTTGGCTGACAGCGTTCATGCAAGATGTCTCGAAAGTGTGTAAACAATCCAGATCAGTTTTGTTACGTGCGTGGTGATGTGACTTTTGCGTCTCAGAGACGGTCTATTACTCCACTAATAACAAAGGCATATCAGCTTTATGTCGGTTGTAAACTAGGTGATCAAGACAAACAGTGGGCACCCCAAATCTGCTGTAATACATGTGCTTCAAGTCTGAGGAGTTGGTTAAATGGCAAAAAACGGTCTATGCGCTTTGCTGTCCAAATGGTTTGGAGAGAGCCTACAAATCATATTAATGATTGTTACTTTTGCATGGTACCTTGTGTTGGACAAGCCAGAGGTATGTCCAAGAAAAAAAAATCGGTTATTAACTTCCCAAACATACCATCTGCGATGAGACCTGTGCCTCACAGTGACGAAAATCCTATTCCAAAACCCCCAGAATCCTACACTTGCGAATCAGAAAACGAATCAGATCATGGCGATCGAGTGATTCGTCAGGAAGAAGATATGCCATCAACGTCAAGAGATCCTGATTTTATACCGAGCACGTCATGCCACCAACCGCACAAAATAACACAGTCAGAATTAAATGATCTTGTAAGAGATTTAGAACTTCCAAAATGTAAGGCAGAGTTACTTGGATCAAGACTGCAGCACTGGAACTTGTTAGAAGAC